CTGCGCTGTCAAGTGAGAGTTTACCCTCTTTCTTCTGATGTCTACAAGAATAATATTGAACAGTAGCACAGAAAATAAGATTGCAGTGACCAGCAAGAACTTTATAGCAAAACTAGAGCTGTAATCAATTGATACATATTTCCATATAGGAGAACTAACATTAGCTGCTCATTAGTACTTACGCATGAAGTTTAATGTTCCCCAGAAGCACTCCTCTCTCTCATGTGTCCTTGTAACTGCTGCTCTTACAGCTACTTTCTGTGAAATTGCTTAAAGGAACTCTGACAATGACTTGACCAGTGGAGACCTGTTCTGTAGCCCTCATTTACTACTACTGCTTGCACACACAATACACCAGCAAGAATTAGTTCCACAGCTGTGACAACATTTACAAGAGTCACTTTTGAAAGTCAAATAATCATTTATGAAATGGTAACCGCCAATGGCATTTACTTTGGAGGTCAAAACGCAGCACCCAACTGATTTGAAGGGGAGTAGGTGAGGACGGGGGGTTATGTCACTAAGAAATAATTGAACATGGAAAGAGTCTCATTAACATACAATGACTGTCTCTGTGTTAAATGAATTTCACACCATGAGCTCTGCGATATGCTAACAGACTGACATACTTTTTAAAATAAGTGTGGATGGTCCTGGCTGTACAATTACTTCTGTCCCCAGTTTTTGCTTACTCTGTCATTTTGAACTGTTTAGCATAAGAATACCTTATCCTGTGAAATTAAAAATCTGAGAGTGGCCACAGAATAATAGAGATAATAACCTGATGAAATAGAAGATTTGATGAAAGGAAATGGTTGCAGCTGTTTTGAGGATTCCATTTCTGTACTTGGTAAGACAGATGGGGTTCTGGAATTCATAAGATGATTCTACAGTGGTTATTCTAAAAAATATAAACTCCTTTCACTATTCTTAAGTGACATCTACACAGAGAATGTGCATCAAATGGTGACGATCAGCTATGACCGAAGCAAATTACATTACCTCTCTACTTCAAGAAGGAATGAAAATTAAAAAGTAAGAGCAGATCTGAAGATGCAGCCTTGAGGGCCAACAGCTTCTCCAATTTCAAGATGAGGTTCCTTCTCTCAGCAGGTACCAACAAGCAAAGGCTTATTTATCCAATCCATATGGATTTGTAATGCCTAATGACAGCTGCTATGTATCTCCCACTGAAAAGGGAGATTTTTGTGTTCCCTCTTCACCTTCTACTTTCAGCATGGCCCTTTTTTCCTCTCATTTTTTTAAGCATCTCTTTATTAAACACACAGAGAGTTAAGATTCCAGCCACACAATGTATTTGTACTTCCATAATAGAAACAAAGACCTCTAACCCTGCAAACATCAGGATATGGATCATGCTATTAACCTGAACAGCAGCTCAACAGGAACAGTCACATTAGTAATATTAGCCAAACGTTGTGGAACAAAACCCATAGGGAGCAAAAGAGGAATAAGACCATTTTATACCACTGGAATCTTTGATTAGATACTGCTTTTTATTTCTCTGTTTCTAACCCACTTCTTCACTAAAAACTTACTGTTGTGCTTCCAAAAAACTCATCCATGTTCCATCGGGATCTTCCCCAGTTTCCACTGCCTTGCAATACTCTGTGCAATTTACAGAAGAACAAAGACCATGCAGCACTTTGGCTGGTCAAAGGATGTAGAATCCTTTTCATTCCAGTCCCCAAGAGAACCCACCACTCATCAGTGTAAAAATTCCGTTTTGTTGGTTTTTTCTTGATCTACATCCCTGGAGTTTTACTGTTTTATGGATATTCATAGCATGCATACTCCCTCTCCTGTGTTCACGTCTCTGGGCCAGTTTAATCTTGGAAGGAAAAACCAAAATGCTTACAAAAGGCATAACACCACAACACTTTCAGCCTCCGAGGGAGGCAGATGCAGGGCAGAGGCAAAGGGAACAACTAGTATTGTCAGGACACCCAGGAGAACTTAGTCCCAGTCATGAGAGTAAAGAAAACAGCAAGGTGACAGGTAGGTCCTATTACTGATTGCCACAGCTCTGGATCAGGGGTAGGGACAAGCCAGGCCTGACAATGGTGACACAACAAAGCCCAACAGTATGAGGCTATTCTCACCTTGATGTGCATGGAAACAAGACAAAAGGACCACTTTGAACACAGGAACTTCTAGCCCTCTTGAGTACCAAAAGAGATGCTGAAGGTGGGGACGGATCTCACGCAGATGCTGGCACAGACTGGCCAGCATGAACGCTGGATGAGCTTGAAAGCAGGATTTCTGCCACATGCCAAAACATCAAAGGACTGTTTTCTACTACAGCTTTCAATCCAGCCACCTCCATAATTTTGCAGGGATGCACACAGACCATCTACAAACTCTGCCACCTGGTTCCATGGAGGCAGATGAAGCATTCTTCCTCCATGTACAAGTCTGTGCACTCACTGGGAACACAAAGGGAATAAAAAATCTGGCCTAAACATTTTGTTGCTGCTATTTCAGCTCATCCTATCTTACTGTGTAGTTCCTCTCAAAGTTTTGTCCAATAACAATAAATTGGGCACAAGTCTATATACTTACTCTAAACTAATGACAAGCTAGGGAAAGCTACCAGGTAGCAAGCATGATCATTGCATACATCCAGCCATTACAAAAGTGCACTAAAAAGTCTATCTGCTCATACTTTCCACTGTCTCAATCAAAACTTTCCTAAATCTGTCAGAGTAGCAGCTAAGTATATCACAAAAGACATTGAATACTACATACACTGAATACTGCACACACACAAACAGTTTGCTGGGGGTTTTTTTTAATATAAAAAAAAATGTCTAGAAGTTCCCAACTAACAAACTTAGGCCACGTGTTTAATATATGGTTCTGCTTGACAATTCCATACCATACCTGCTCTGCAATATATACAAGAGAGCAGAAAAGGATTAATTATTACTGAGTGGCTAAAAATATCACTTCATTTTGAAAACCAGTCAATGTCAGATATTAAAACTAAAATGAGGTTTTAAAAGCTGAAACCATGGGTTAAATATTTCAGAGGTGGAGATTCAGCTTGGTTGCCTAAAAAGGCAGATTCAAAATTAATATCCAAGGTAAGTCATCTTTATTATGAATGTATTGATTTTATCTGTGCAGTTCCGTCTAAACACTCGCAACAATTTTTGTATTTTACTTATTATTCAAATGGAGAAGTCACAGGAGCAGATTATATCAAGATAAAAAGAATACCTTAAGTATGGATGGAAGTGACAGAAACACTTCAGGCTCAGAAACATTTTAACTTAGATCTGTCCAGAGTCATTATGGTCTCATGAAATTTTGTAGCATGTAAGGACCAAGGATCATATTTCTTAGGTGTTTTTTCTTCTTTTCTGTCCCCGAAAGTCGGTTCAAGACTAAGCTTTCTTGCTTTAGGATGTTGGGAAATAAAAGCAACTAAGGCAATTTCATAAAGTTTAAAGTACTGTAATACTAACAACAGTGGCAATGCTTAGAAGGTAGACCAGGCAGGAGTTGGCTCTAGGGGCTCTGGTTACAGCACTGGTATGGCTTAACATGGTGACCTTAAGGTAGGGACTAAGGTCCTAGAAGCAGTGTACCTATCAAGGGCTTGCCTACAGATACACCTTTTTTGGTCTCTTTTAAGAGCCCCAGTACTGCTCTTATCCTTTTAATTTAAAGAAGGCAAAAGTAAGAATGTTATCCTTAGTGTTTGCATTTTTGCCGCTAGAAGTGAAGGACTTTGTGTTCTGATATTCTACAAGCACAAGATCTAAGGGGATGAGGAATATTTAAATTAATGAGCTAAACTGGCATTTGGATATGCCAATGGGATATTCCATATCATATCACATCATGTCCAGTATATTAATGAGGGCCTCTTCCTCTCTTGTTCTCTCTGGCTTTCGCTCGGGCTCTCACTCTTCTGGGATTGTGGTTTCAGTTCGGGATTGTCACTCCTCCGGGATCATTTTCTGGGAAGGGTCTGGGCTTGGTCAGCAGGTGGTTGTCATTCACTTACATATTTTGTTACTGTTATAATTATCTGTACTATTTTAATATTAGTATTATTTTAAGTTTTCTCTCTATTATTAAACTGTTCTTACCTCAACCTACAAGCCTCCTTTTCCTTGCCCCCCAGTCCTCTCCCCTCTCCCCTGGGGGTGGGGGGCAGTGGGTGAAGGGCTGTGGTGGCTGCTAGCCAAGGGCCAGCCCAGTGAGACTATCACAGTTGGAAAGTAAGGAGAGCAGAAGAGTGGCTATTACAGCAAATACTCGCTTCAGAAGTTACAGGCAGCAAGCAGGAGAATAAAATTTACCTGAACATTTAACACGAAACATCTGGTACTGTATGCTGTTTGCAAGTGAGATAATACATGATATGAACATGAAACTCAATGCTTTCAGGAGGCTGGAATTCAGTTTCAGAAGCACAAGTTCTCCATTCTGTAAGACCAGTGACATGACAGCATAAAACTGTAAATTTGCAGTAAGTTCATACAGGCAATTAACCTCCACTTAACAGCTACCATCTTTCACTCTCTTATCTTGTAGCCTGCAAATAATTTTGACAAGCTGATACTTACAAAGCTACAAGTACGAAAGGAAGAGACTACTTTTTGAGTATTTTGCAATGAAGTAAATTTGATATTTTCCACTATTTTCAGACATACACCCTAATTATTGTACTTCAGACTGCTCATAAAATTGGACCTCCTACCTAGTTTCCAAACACTAAAAGCCTGAAGTGATTTGAAAGGCAAAAGAAGACAAGAGTCAGGCCTTTAAAGAAAACAACGAAGTTATTCAAGGACAACCACTTTTGGCCTGCCATTAAGAATCTTGCATATAGAAGCTGGTTGCTATAAAGACATCACAGATCGAATCTTCCCTTTATACACACTTGCTGATAATTGCTGAAGAGGAACTGCATTTACCTTGTTCTAATGTACAGACTCTGCAGTGTCTAGAAACTACTTGTAACTTTAACCTGCTAGAGGCTACCAGGGAGAGTTTGATTTTTTTGATCCCAGGACAACAGACAGACATCAAAATTTACATGTCTTCTGCTATCACATACTCGAGCGTTGCCTCCCTTCTCTTGCTAACCTCACACTCTGCCACTCCCTACTAGTTCTGTACATTTAACTAGCAGGAGTGCTCCTGAACCCCAGCCACACAAATACATTGGAAGCTTGCAGTAACAGAGTAGAGCCCAAAGGAAGGGACACAGGTAATGTCATTTTGATATACAGCAGCGATTTGTATGCCAAGAAGTAACTGATAATGATTATTTCCATTCAATAAGCTACGTTGAAACTACTATATTATTTCTACTCTCCCTGAATACACTAAGTTCTGACATTCCCTTTTTCCCATCACCATAAAATTAATCAATGGCCATACCACAATTAGATCAAGGATGCTTCCTAAGTTCTTTTGTTAGGTCTTGCAATCTAACATTTGCATGGAAACAAGTGGTTAAGCCAGAGACAAATTTTGCTCTTGGATCTACAATGTTACCTGGATTTCTAGTGGTTCAACCAAGTTCAGCTCTATAACAGAGCTGCTGGCTTCCAAACCTGGTAAATGGAAGAACACTGCTTTGGGAGCCTGACCTTAGCTGCTGGAGGTTTGGCACTCAGCATACGCACCCTGAGTAGAGGCATGGCAGCTCGGCATCGTGCAGTTTTTACGTTCTTTAGGTAATGGGATTCATCCTGAAACAAAACAAGCATGAAAGTGAAGACAGCTCTGATCCATAGTACAACTGCAGGCTACAGAACAAATTCCCAGTATTCTCAGCTATATAATATTACAAGCCTATCATCCCAGAGGATATTTCAAGCACTGAGATATTCACATCAAATTCTAAACAAGAAGACAGCATGGAGAGTAGCAGGCTTCTTACATTCAAACCCACTGCCACAAGCAAATGGAACAGAAATCAAGCCTTAACACCATGAATCTCAAACAACCAGAAACAAGTGAGCAGAGGAGGCTGGAGAGGGAAGAAGAAAGGGGAACATTATTCTACCACTGATACTCATTTGCCCCTATGTGTCCTTTAAATGCAGCAAACAGAAGGTCTATACAGTGCCAGTTCCCTGAATAAGGGGTTAATGAAAACAAAAAAGGAAAAAAGAAACCTAATTAGGATCCAACTGTTCTGGTGATAGGGCTCACCAGGTGGATAATAGCCTCCTACTTGAGACATCACCCCCAAACAGGCTTCATTTCCACTGCTGTAGCAAGGCAGAACTCGGACACAAAAGTAATCGGCACCCTCCAAGGGTACATTCGCATCTTTCCATGTGTGGATGAGCAAGCAACCATGCATGCAGAGACAATACAGCTGCTGAGCCTCCTAGGCACAGCCTTCTCCCTCCTGATTAACAAATAAGTGACATTAATGATCCCAGACATCAGAAGAAGATTGGAAGAAAAAGCAGGGAAGCTCAGCACTCAGTAGGACTACTCTCATCTGTAAAAATATATATAGGGACCAAATTTGAACATATAAACACACAGAAAGAACAACTGCCAGTTCAAGGCTGGTAAAAGGTTCCAGGGTAGTAGCCCTAGAGCCCAAGTTCCTTTATCCCAAGCACCAGCGTACAAAAGTAACAATGTGCACTTCCACCCTGGCAGAATATCTTGTCAGAGATGAGGCAGAGGAAAAAAATAAAAATGACATAAAAAAAAAAAATCCCCCATGAGTAGTTTGGTCTCTAAAGAACTCCATCTATTCCCACATTCCCACCTGATGCTGAGAATAAAAAAGGATTATTATGTTCCAATTGTCATGATCTTAGGGATAGGTGCATATGTGTGCTGAAAACTAGACTGAAAACATTGAACACTCATAGGAAGCTACGTAGACACTTCTGGTCTCTACTGATACAAGGTGAATTTGAAACATGAGATGTTTTGAACTTTTAGTAACGGAAATCTAGAAAAATGCCTTTTACCATGGCTCTGTAAAAGGTTAAAAATGGATTTTGAATTAATTTACAAAAGAAATTATACAAGTGATCAAAGAAAGCTTAATGTAGATTGTCTGTGGAACACAAGCAAAGTGAGATTTTGTGATGCTTTACCCACATACTTGATGTTGAGAGGTTATCTGGTTTACTGGATAAACTACATAAACACCACTATGAAGTCCAATCCCCTTAAAAAGATACAATTCCACACATTCTTGTACTGACACACCACATTAAACAACTTGCTCTTCAGCAGAGGACATGCCCAACCACAACAAAATTAGAGAGGCAGAGGCGCCATAACGAGTAAAAGAGAAAACACATCCTCAGGAATCAAAAAGGAATTAAACTCTACTAGTTATCTCAAAACATTTCAGAGAAACCTCCTGTTTCTACTCACGAAGAGAGCTGTGATCACAGTCACAATCAGAAGATATTTTCAGTCCTACATAAGGCCCACTTCACACTTCTCTGCTGTACAACACAACGGTTACCCCATTTGCAGCACAAAACTCCAAAATTTTAGTGTACCACTTACAATAATAACTACTTGGAAAGCGCTCTTAAGTTGCTTGTCCATCTTGCTGAGGAGGTCAAAGCTGATGATGTTGATCAAGCTTGCTGTTAGGTTATCTTTGCCAGTCACTATGACATTGGTGCTACCTGGACTCAAAGATGGAAGCCACCTGTGAAATGCCTGGAGGAGGAGGAGGAAAGCAATTAATTGCATGCTGGTGCTTTTGTCTTCTATCGGAATCCCAAAGCACTTTGCAGAACATCCTCCTGAATGCTCAGAACAGGGCGCCACCCCACCCACCACTAGACACCAGCTGGGAGCACGGTAAGCAGCTTTCCCAAGGCAACAACCTTAGTAATGGGAAGATCAAGAACAGAACTCGGGCTATAAGGCCAAGTCTAGCTTCCACAGCTAGGAAGGCTCAAACATGCTCTATTCTTGCTTCTTACTGTAAAGAAACCCAAAAATCTGATCTGTAATAGAAATATGCACAATCTCCTGACAATGTTACCTGCCGTGCTCAGGGCCAGAGAATGCAGTGACCACTATTGTCAGGAAAATTTAGTTTTCCCACTCAACAGGAAACACAGACTCCTAAGCAGTACACTTCTCTCACTACAGCAATGCTTACTCCACAGCAAGGATGAAGTACAACTCATCCAGATCAACAAAAACTCTTGCACTACCCCTCCTTCTTAAAAAGTCTACAAAAAAAAAAAACCCAAACAAACAAAATGAAAAGATCAAGATGACAACACACCAGCTGCTCTATGACAGCAGCTGAAATACACATGGTGATACTCATTCAAATCAACCTCTTGAAATGCTCCACACACCAGAGCAAGATATCCTCCCCCAAACCCATCTGTTAGCTACTGAGCACCCACCATTTTCCTTGTAATTGTGTCCCCAGCGACACCAACCTCTCTGCAACACTTGTGTTCTGCTGATGTTGCTCTGCAGAGCACTGGCTGGGGCTTCAGCAACCAGGATCTAGTCCTTACAGAAATGTATCCAAGGTGTGGTGATGGGAAATGGCATCTCTGCCTCCAGGCCCTTCACCTGTGGAAATCCCCCAAGCACCATTCCTCCCCTCTGTTCAGCAGCCACATACAGCAGCCTGAGGAGTTAAATGTGAGCTTCTCGCATTTCCCAGTATGTGAGAAACTAACAGGTAATTACCCCTCGCCACTTAGGGTAAGCAACACAACCACAGTGGGCCAACAGGCAGGCAAGGTTAGATCCCAACCAAACAAATATTTGGCTGACACCAAGTCAAAACTTAGAGAAAGGTGGCAGCAGTGGGAAAGTATCTGGAAGCTCCTAGCTATACTGCCTTCTCCTTTTATAAAGGGTACATGACTAATTCACACTGTAAAAGTGATCCTGTATTTCTCACTTGATGCTGACCTTTGTCCACAACAAGTGCTTTGAAACTGCCCTGATCGTTAATTATTTGAGTTTCAATGCTGAACTCCAAACACACACGGCTGCAGTACTTCTCAACCAAGAGTACCTTGCATCTTCCCACTAGCTTCCTACAGCACCTTGAATATAATGGCACTCAGTGCCTGAGCCCAGAAAGCCAAAACACAATGCTGACAACTCTGAGATTAAGACAATTTCTGACAATTCAGTTCTGGAGACACCAAAAAAGCTTCTACCATTACAGTAAAACCCAACTGTGCAAGAATACAGACCATAATAAACTCCACCTTCTTCCATTTTCTGTGACACATTTTTTTTAGACCTGCATCCTTCGCATACCCACAAAGCAACACAGATCATCCTAAAGCAAATGTCCTAACAAAACATCTCCCACAACAGCCTTCTAGGGAGTCCAGAGTAGGGGAAGGAAGAAGAAATTAAGCAGAACAACCTCACATTGCTTAAATCTCTTGAAGCAGGATGTAGGAGCTTAGCTGCAGGTGCCCAGTCCTTCAGGAAACAAGGCCCCAAATTGTTCCCAGCAGGTATCCCACAGAAGCCATGGATTCAGGTTAGGTGTTGACCAGAGGTCTACAGGCCTTTGAAATATCAAATATGATGAGCATCACTTCCTTGTTCAATAAACAAGTTTCCTTTCTTGTCACACAACATTTTGTTGCACTACTGGATGTGAAAACACAAGCCAAGATGCTCTAACAACCTAGTTACAGCACAAAACCAGCAAATGTCAACCAATACACTTCTCATGAATGCAACATTCCAGGGAAAGCTAAACTCCCCGTAAACTCTTCTGCTCAGGCATTAAATTACTGACCTAAAACCTCTGGCTCACCTTTTTCCTCCCACAGTGAACATTTCACTAGCCTACGGCAACCCAACAGCCTCAGTGTAGAAGCCACAACAGCGATTTGTTTCCAGATACATTCCCCAACCACACAAGCTTTCTTGGGCTCCTGATCAGCATTAATAAAGGACTCGGAGGAGTCAGCAGCATACAGTGCACAGGCTGAAAGACATATTATGACAGACCCTTAATGATGATAATGGAGTCTCTTGCACAGACCAGAGAATCCCAGCATCTGGGCTTCTATTCCAGCCAAAGACTGGCAAATACTGCTATGAAGGGTTTGAATACAACAGACAATTACTTGAATGCAACTTTTGTCTTTGACACTGATGAGTAAAACATCCCCTTGGAGCCAGCTGACTTGCAGGAACAGAGGGTCAGAGGAGGTATATTCTCTAAATTTCCCTCTTTCCAACAGATCAGCAGGACCACAAAAAGAAAATCTAACAATAAAAGAAAACAGGCACATACCATACAGTCAATGCCAAGCAATTTCCCCCCCTCAAGTTTCCAAATTTCAGTTTCTTCCCCCTAACATACATCATTTTAAAATTCTAACTTGTACAGAGTGCAACACAGCATAACCATCACACACATCCTCGACTGGCCACCTGCACAAGCTCAAGCTCACAGTACCTCTGCCCATGTGAACCTCACAGAAGAAGGAGTCACCACCAGCAAGGGCCATTCCTTTCGGTAATACGCAGCAACGCAGATCGCCTGGATGGTCTTGCCCAAGCCCATGTCATCCGCAAGAAGTAAACGTCCATTTCTTAAAATGGCAAAACTGGGGAAAACAGAGAGGGGAAATAAGCAGGAGTCAAGAAATGGGTTATTTTCTGTCCTGGCAGCCAAGATGAGCACAACTCATCACCAAACCTATAATGTGGATCACCCAGAAGCGATCTGGGTTCTTCAGTAAACCTGGATCTTCTCCCTTAGTCTCAACACAAATGAGTAACTCTCACAAATCTCTCAAAGCTTAGAACCTCCTGTACAAAGTGGTTCAGCCCAGTACTTACAGACTTTGATTTCGTATAAGTAGTAGTCTCAAGACCTTACAATTATTTAAAGCACATTCTTTCCACGATATTACCCACATTCTGTCCCAGAGTTCATCCTGGCTGAGCTAAGAAAATATTACTAATAATAATGCCACTTTAACATCAGTAAGTACACACCTTCCTGGATTGCATTTTGAAGTCTATAACTAGTGACCATATATGACGGGGACAAGGACATTTAAAAGTTTATCTCTACGTACAATTAGTAATTTTAAATCTTTCAGGGCCTGGGCCCCATTTTCTGGCACTTTCTTATGTGCAGTTAATATTTTAAAAACAACAACAAAAGAGATGCACTTGAGGGGAAAAAAAAAAAAGACCTTACAAAATAAATAAAATCATATGACAATTAGGCACATACTGAATCACAAGGGGAAGATCAGTGATGTATCATTCAAACAATTTTATGAGACTAGCAAAATGCTACTCTCCTCCTGACTCATGATGAAGAATTCTAGGTAGAAACAGAATAGATTGTCACTCAAAAAAAAAAAAAAAAAAAAAAAACCACAAAAAATTTCCCAGCAAAACAAACCATACACCATACCAAACAACCAAGAGCCCAGAGTACCAGAGTGATACAGCCCAAGACTCTGGAGAAATGTGAAGCCCTCCACGGAAGAGAATGCAGCCTAGGCACCAATATAAAGTACACAATTCTAGGCAAGGACTAGCTCTTAGCAGCATGCAGAAAGGACATACTTCACACCTTCCCGCTGAAAGGGCATGAGGCTTGTCACAATTTTGGAGTCCACTACTGAAAGGTCAGCATCAGGAATGTCTGTCTGCAATGTAGATTTCTCTATTTGAGCAGCAAAAGTTTGTATTACTGCCTCTGGCAGCGGCTCCACTTCTACTGACACAAGGCTGTGTAACACTTCCACTGCAAAGAACAGAACAGTTTAGCATCAGAACAGGCAACACGCAAACAACTTCCATTATGGATGTCAGGACACAACCCTCGATCTCGTCAACAATATTATTTCCTATCCTGAAACAGATCAAGAAAGCACTGCATCATGCACAGGTGTTGGCCTGGCCCCTTTCCTGAAGTCTATTTCAGAAACACATGATGAATCACATCTCCTCCCCTCATATTTAGACTTGGTTATAAAAAACTGAAAGTCTGATGCCATCATTCAGAGATGATTGCTACTAATACAGCTGGAGCTGGATTATTCACACTGAGGGCAGCTTAGGGCACACTTTCATCAGAAATAAAAGTATGGATTTGAACAAAAGAGCCCCTGAAGCCTAGAAAACAGGGGCATCTTTATCTTGACCTTGGGATTCTGCATTAAACACCTCTGGGGTCTCCAGCATCCCTGAGCAATCAGAAGTTACCCGAGACACAGTTAGAGAAGATCATACATCCTCAGCTTTGAAAACTATCTTCTCCTCCTGCCCCCCAAATTCACACAGGTTTGGCTCTATCTTCACTTTATCACCCTTTGTTTACCATGTTTGGAGAAGAAAACAGGAAGCACCTCAAGACTCAGAAACTACTCTTGTACCACCATCAGCAGTGCTCTGACAGCCATCCTTCAGGGACATGGTACCAACAGCAGCTCCCTGCTCAGCTGGTGTCCACTGCTGTCCTCCTGGACAGAAGTAGCTCGGGGGCCAGAACCAGCCCACGGGCAGCCACTTGAGTCCCTCACCACTACTGCTGTTTCACCCATAAAGCCTCTCAGCTTTATCTGCAGCATAAAACCTTCCCAGTCAAACTAAAGGGAACCTCAGCCTCCATTATGCAAAGACCTCAGGGCCTTAATCTTTTCAACCCATGCACCACAGCAAGCAAAGCATCAGGGCAATTCTCCTCCTAGACAACTTCATTTCAGTCCCTTCCAGCAGCCTCTCTATCCCATCTCAAAAAGATAAAACTATTTCTTTTTAATTCAACAGTAAATTTCTATGAAAACAAATACCATTTTAAAGCATGCAGTAAGCTGGGACCAGGAAAATACATTTAATAATCAATCTTTGATCACTGACTGAGAAACAAAAGACACCTTTACACTAGTAACACAAACACACGTGCACAGATCCTTTATTGCAGGAACCAACTTTTTTTTATTTAAAGTGGATGGACAAACCAAGTGGTTGGTTTGCCTATGAAGTCAGGAAAACATAAGACAACTCTGTTGGCAAAAATAACTGAAATAAAAACTCACTATCCCAGCAGTAAAATGCACCTCCAGAATTCAGTTAGGTATTTTTATTTCAGTTATCTCCAAGAGGAAGGCAGCAGTATGGCCCCCTGCCATATGAAGGGGGAAAGCAATTCCAAGAAATATACATATGAAAAGATTTCCATTTGTGGTTGGGCAATGACCAAACTTTTTAAACTCTACAGTTTAATTTATACTTCTTCAATAGCAGGAACTCTCTCCACCCGAAGTACAGCACAAGCTTGTTATTACACTCACAGACTGAGCTATGTGTTAGCATAATTGCTACAATTTGCTCACTGATAATTCTGTTGCTATTGTTCTGTACATGAGCTGGGAGAGTGATTAAGATATATCTGCCACCAGCATGATTCATCCAACAGACATTTTTTACTGAAGTGACCTTTATATAAAGATGACTGAGCAACTAGGCAAAGAGACATTAACCTCTACAAACAGTTCCCAGCTAACAGATCTCTCTGCTGGAAATGACAACCAGCCTTTTAAAATTCTTTTTTTTTTTTTTTTTGACGTAGGTAAATGAACAGGCACAAAGCAAATGCTGTTCCTCAAAGAGGCACGTGCTAGAAGCCTCAGATGCCCTCACAAATTACACCCTGCAAGAACATTTACAGAATTTTTTTTTGTTTTCCTCAAATCTGTGGGATTCTGAATACTTCATGCAATTTCTACAACTGCCAGCCAGCATGGCCAAGAGAGTGACAGACTGAGAGATGATGCGTTTGCTCAGACTGCCGAGCACACACTACAGGACCAGGCCCTTTGCACGTACAAAAGGCTCTTGTAGCAAATTGTAAGAAATCATCAGCTGTCACTGAAATCAGGGCCAGTCCACATCCCAATCCAAGTTTCCTAATAGTCTCCACCAAAACACACTCACTAGTTTTCAAGATCTGGCATTCCTACAAGGCCCCACCATGTGCCTTTCAGCCCTACAATCACTACTAATGTTTTAAGACATCCATCATAGGAGCATGCAAATACTCAATTATTAAACGTTGCTCCTGCAACTGTTTAGTTCAAGTAGAGCTGCTGTACAGTATAAGCAAAGTAACTTTGTGATAGTCACTACATCCATGTACTTCAAGAAATTCAGTGCAGAATCTGACAAAACAGAGCCACCCTCCTGATGGACCCCTAAAGGACTGCCCTGAATAACACACATTTATGAAGTTTTGAGTCTGGGCAAACTATAAATGTCTGGCAAAAGAGGAACACACTTGCTTCGTAGTTCGTTAGCAACTTATCTCCCCACAGTGAAAAGGTTTACCCAAGAAACGAAGTTAGAATTCATTTGCCTCCCCAGAAAACAGCCTTAGACAGGAAAACAC